GCACGCGATGGTGATCAAAGGGCTCAGCAAGCTTCGGGAGAATGATCAGATGGGGATTCATGGGCTTGTAGAGCGACTCGGAAGAATGTGGAGAGTAGATATGTTTGTCAGTGCAGAACCGTGGAGAAGATTAAAAATGGCCACCCTCTCATCGCTACATGATCTCTGCGGGGTACTAAAGGAGGGAAACATGGGCATGGTGGATCCTTTCGGGGTATCGTTAGAGGAAGCGATCCTGGATCCGACTAGAGATCAGCTTATGTAGAATTATCCAATATTTACGTTTAGATTCGTCCTCAAATGTGTCTTATAAGTGTTAGTTTGGCTGCTAATGGAAGTGCGGATGTGCAAATTTATCCCTCTCATTCTCAATCAAGGCAAGGTCCACAAGATGGGATACCGATATTGAGATCTATGATGAAATATATCAAAGATCAGCGATAAGGCCCAAGTTAGATAAAAGTATATCCGGATCAAGGTGGTGATCGGCCTTGAACTCGACCATTTCACGCATTTCGTTTACGGCCTAAAACTAACCAAGGAAACATCGAGTATTCAAACCAGTCGACTCGTTTCGGCTATGTCAATATCCCTTTTGGAGCGAATTCCGATCGAAATATGGGAAAAGATTCTATATCACGCCACCTTCTCTCCGCTCTTGCCTTTTACAGAGGATGGAGAGCTAACAAACGACTTGGTCGATAATCTGCTCCTTTTTGAAGATCACTGTCGGACGTTTGAAGCATATCGGGCCCAGACGCAGGCGCTAGTCGAGCGCCTACGTCTCGTGTGTCGGCTGTGGACCAAACTACTCCGACCAAAAACCAACGAACTATCGCTCATAACCATAAGAGGATACTTTTATCCATCTATACACGGCACATTGCTCTCGACACGACTAGTATACTGTCACCGTGGCGGTTGCCCCTGTAGATCGCAAGAGTGCAGGTATGACGCCTATGAAGCTAGGCTAGGACCTGTAAATTCTCTATGGGGAGCAAAAGGTGGCGAACCTCTTCATCTTCTGTGGCCCCGTTTACGGATTCTCACGTTGCAGACGACTGAGAATTTGCCCCTACAGCTTTTAGAGCTTGTAGATGGCGTAAAAGCGTTATCCATCACTGTTGGAGGTGGACCAGGGTACTATTTAGACGAATTTCCGCACCGTGCGTCTCAGCTGACACACCTAGATATAAACTGGCGGAGGGGATGGTCTAGCTGGTCATTCACGGCGCATGCACTTCCACAATTACAGTACCTGAATGTCAATTTTCTCATTACTGACCTGAGGAATGAGGAGGGAAAGTCTCTAGAGGGGTGGACCCTTCCAAGTTTGCGGACGCTTGTACTGGGCGGCATCATCTATGACATTCAAGAAGAGCATATTCACAACTTTGTGATGCGCCATATTGAAGGGCTTGCTGCGCTGAGCTTGGTGTACACGAACATGGACTGGTCAACGGATGGATATAATGGACCGGCACGAGCCCCAGATGGGATATGGGATCGCGTGTATCCCAATTTGAGCACTATTGGAGTCAACATTCAATACTGTGGCGCGTTGGTTGAGAAAGGGTGGGTTGAGCGAGGTAGACGAGAGGATTTCCAAGTACACACAATGGTCGTCAAAGGGCTTTCAAACCTTTATCGAGATGACTGGGCGTTGTTTGATGAACTTGTTGGGCGACTTGGACGAATGTGGAGGGTCGAGAGGTTTGTGAGTGCTGAACCTTGGGAGAGAGTAAAAGATGTCACTTTGCCGTCATTGCGAAATCTCTGCGAGGTGCTCGAGAAGGAGAATTTGGTCATGGTGGATGCATTTCGAGTGAGCTTGCAAGATGCGTTTGGACACCTCTTGGATCGCTAGCGTCATGTTTCGTAGCCGTTCACTATAACTCGCTCTGTTCAATTCATACTCGGATGAAATATGACTTGCTGTTACCGAGTTTAGAAAGCTAGTGGTGCCAATTTATCGGCCTCGGTCTTGACCCGAGCAGCAATAGGCACCGATCCCCGCATCATCTGCAACCTAATACCGTCTTCCCTTGGCATTCGGCATTAGGCGAGAGAATTGGGAGTGCCTAGTGCGACGCAGAATTTGTAGACAATTAGTACGAGTGCAAAGTTGGGAGATAGGTGGACGTGCGAGTGATTAGTCGATGTATCATTTATGACAGAGTAATCGATACGAGTTCGTTAAAGAAACCACTCTGGTCATTAGAGACGCATAGTGGAGCGGTAAGCTCAGACCCAGCACTTGGAAGGTTCCTAGTAGCCGCCTCGTCGATCATCTTCCCTTGGCGTCCATGCATCCGTTCTCATCTCACCTGAACAGGCAAGGAGACTCGTAGACATTGACCAGTCAACGCTTGTTCCAGTTCGACTTATTATATCTTTGAAACCTCGAGTTGTACCTAAGGAATATCGCTCGTTCTCAATCCGAAAGAGGTTTACAAGTGTGATGATAGTATCGAAATATATGACAAAAGATTAACAGTAACGTCTGATATGGAGAAGACCTTATCCGGATCAAGGTGGTGATCGGCCTTGACCTTGACCATTTCGCGCATTTTGTCTACGGCCTGAAGCTAACATCGGGTATTCGAACTGGTCGACTCGTTATTGCCATGTCGCTATCTCTATCGGAACGAATTCCAGTCGAAATATGGGAAAAGATTTTATATCATGCCACTCGATCTCCGCTCTTGCCATTTACAGAAGACGGAGAACTGACCCCGGATCTCGTCGACAATCTTCTCCTGTTCAATTATTACTGTCGGACATT